GCGGTGTCACGTCAAGCCGGGTCCCGCATACAAAACCCTATACAAATACAATCTCATGGACACTATGCAAAAAAGATGTCGTCGGGGTCTGTCAGCTAGAGGTAGTGCGTGTCCTAGCGTGTCGCACCGACCAACTGCATGGGAAAATTCATGGCCTGACAATTGTGATGTATTGGCGCTTCGGAGCATCACAGTGGATATTTGCCTGGAGCGCATGGTATGATGTTCTATGGTCTTTTAAAGTGTGAGCTGCTTCAACCTTGATCCTAAACATACGTGAGCACACTCAATTCTCGTATCATAAAGGAAATTCATTGCTGCAAGTATAGGATCATGCCACTTCTTGGCACGTTGTCATCAATTATTCAAACCAAGTGTCCTGGCTCTTCCCGATGAACTCAGAAACACAAAGTGCGTGTCCGAAGTGTGTCGCACCGACGCAAACTGTATGGAATATTCCAAGCCTGACGATTGTGATTGCACGTCGATTTTCCAGCCAGTACGGCTGGGACAATGGCGACACGGTCGCAGGGCATGTCGCGGTGCATGTCGCGGGCATGCGGTTCGACACCCCATCGGACCATGGGAGGCTCTCTAACGTCATTTTAACATTTCCCCTGCCATGAGGTTTCTTGCCGGTCTCGTCCACGCCGCTGTCGCGTCCCAAGTCGTGTTTGACAGCCACGACCCCCTCCTCCCCGCTGACCGCAAAGGAAACATGGGTTCCTTCGGCGAGTACGTCTCGAAGTATCGCCAAGCTGCCGTGCGATTCCGCAGCCCCAAGGCCGTGGACGACGCGTGCATCGAGGGGCCCACTATCAAGAATGTCACCTTTACGATGGACACGGTCGACGTGCCCCCTAACACGTGTCTGCGAGTCGCTCTATGCCCTTCTGTCAACGGTGCTAAACTGCTTTGATGGTGTCATCGCAATTGGGGGCTCATCGTTGACTTGTAGACATGCCCGACTGCACCAAGTCCGGCGGTGCTGAGCTTGTCTCCATTAGCCAGCTCCGTCAGCAGCGAGTTAAGCTTCATTGGATCCCTTCCTCAACGATCGTCCTGGACCCGTCGACCCTTTACTGGATTACCGTCTCCTCGACCGCGGAGGCCCCCAATGCGCCAATTTGGTTGGCAGGTACAAAGGAGTTTAACACCATCGACGACCCAAAAGGCGACGTCCTCGCCTTGTTCACGAAATCCCAAGATGCCCCCCGGAATGGCATTAATCTCGGTAGCAACCGCGAAGTATTCTCTATGCAAGTGAACGCCGACTAAAATGTCATTCCTCGCCAATGTGGTCGTGCGTGTGAGCTCCGAATGACGTCGGACACGATATCGATCACTGACTCTCCAGTGGCCCAACGGCAGGGTGTGTCCAGGCGGTCAAATTCGTTGTAGAACGATTGAATGTTCGACGCAACAAGTTTGACATTTGACATTTTCTTGACGTGCTTTGGCTATCTTCCAGGCAATAGATTGCCAAGCTCGTTCATTCGTCTCGCTATCCACGCATTAGACCTTTCAACCGTCAGCAGGTTCGATGTACCTCGGCTCATCGCGGCATGGCTTATCGACTCGACGATGAATAGCACGACGAACAGTACAGCGTCGAGGGTACCATTTGTACGGAGACGCTCGAGACCCACTGGATCTGGAAGCGCTTGGCAATGATCTGGATAGGAAAACGCTCGGGTTTGTTGCTGAAAGGGCATTTCGGAGTGCCACGGACCTGTACCTGCCAACCAAATTGGCGACTTGTGGTTGTCCTCCACGTTCGAGAACGCTGTGAACCAGTGCAAGGTCGACAGATCCAGGACGATCGGTGAGGTAGGGGACGATGGAAGCTTGACTTGCTGGGCGAACTGGTGAATGGAGATGCGGTTAAAACTGTAGGACTGGGTGCGGTCGGGCTTGTCTACAAGTTCACCATGAGCCCCCACTTGCCATCCCCCCTGCATAGTAGTTCCTCATCGTTGACAGAAGGACATATGTCGACTTGCAGCCACAACGACGGGTTGTCGCCCACGTGCGCCGTGTTTACCCAAAGGTGACATAGTCGACGGAGAGCCTGGACCAAAGAGCCCATTGATGACGCGCGTCGGAGACGCCTGAATTCGAGCACTTCGACACGATAAGGATGGC